AAAAAAAAAAAAAAAAAAAAGAATTATTTTGCAGGCTGGGCACAGTGGCTCACACCCATAATCCCAGCACTTTGGGAGGCCCAGGCAGGCAGATCACTTGGGGTCAGGAGTTTGACACCAACAACAGGAGTTTGAGACTGGCCAGCATGGTGAAAAGCCATCTCTACTAAAAATACAAAAATTAGCCGGGTGTGGTGGGGTGTGCCCGAGGTCCCAACTACTTGAAAGATCAAGGCAGGAGAATCACTTTAACCTGGGAGGTGGAGGTTGCAGCAAGCTGAAATCCCATCACTGCACTCCAGCCTGGGTGACAGAGCAAGACTCCATCTGAAAAAATTAATAATTATTGTGATTATGGCGCAGCTTTAGAGAGATGAGGTAGATGGACAGATCTGTAAGACATTTGCTCACAGTGAACAAGATAAGCAGTTTCCCTGCTCTCCTGCAGTTGACCTGCAGGGAAAGACAGACAGTGAACAAGTCAACAAATAAGAGATACTTTCAGGTAGTGGTACGAGTTCCAGAGATAACAAAACCATGCTGATGGGAAGATGAGTACTGGTGGAAGCTGGAAGGTGCTGGAGGAGAGATTGCATGTTGTGAAAGGGTTCTCTGAGGAGGTGACATTTGAACTGATCGAAATGACCTGAGGGAGCCACTCTGAAAAGTTCTAGGGCAGAGCTTTTAGAGCAGGTGATACATTTCTTCTTGCAACATTATTGTCTTTTATTTATTTAGAGACAGAGTCTTTCTCTGTCACCCAGAGCAAGGGCAAAGCCCCTGAGGTGAGAGCGGCTTTGGCTGGTTTATAGAAAGGCGTTATTTCAGTGCAGGGAGTGTAGAGAATAAGAGGGAGGATGGTGAGAAGAGGACAGGAAGGTAGGCAGGGGCTGGATTGCGGTGGCCCTTGCAGGTCTCGGTAAAGAGTTTGGGATTTGTTCCAAGTGAAAGAGGAAGTCAGTGGAGGACTTTTACGCAGAGAGACATCATCTCACTTATATTTGTAAAAGATCACTCTGGCTTCTCTATGAAGAATGGATTACAAGGGTTAAGACTGGATGCTGATTGGAAATTATTGTGTCCCTGCAGCCACAGTAGCACTAATGGAGAAGTTCAGGTGATAACAGGAGATAGCTGGAGAAGGGAAGCTGGATTCAGGATGCAATCTGAACTTATTGATCAGAGGCAGGAAGTGAGGGAAAGAGAGGAATCAATAATGACTTCTGGATGATTGACAGGAGCAATGGGGAGAATAGATGGTGTGTTGTTTACTGAGATGAAGACCGAAAAGATGGGGTTTGGGGACTGCACATTCCTTGTTTCTGGGTAAGCAGAGTCCCTGCCACTATCCAGGGCTCTGCTCTTTAGGTGGCTTCATCTTACCTCTCAGCGTCAGGCAAGGAGGCCACAGGGCCCAAGGGCCATGCCTGCCTAAAGCCTGTACTTTCCCATCCCCACCCACACTTCTAGGGTGGCCAGAAGATGGCCATTTGGTTCTATGTGGGTGTGTTGTGTGTATGTGTGTACGTATGTGTGGTATATGGTATGCAGTTTTGGTGTGGTGTATGTGTGAGTGTGTGGGCTGTGTTTGTGTGTTGTACGATATGTGCACGTAATGTGTGGTGTGTTGTGTGTGGGGGTGAGTGTGGGTGGTGTGGTAGGGGGAGTATATGGTGTATGTATGTGTGTGATGTGTGTATGGGTGTGGTATGTATGGGTATGTGGTGTGTGTGTAGAAAGTGTACATATGTGGCATGTGCATATGGCATGTGGGTGGGTATGTGTAGTGTGTATATGTGGCAGGTGAAGGGGGTAGCATTTGTGTGCATGTGTGGTGTATGTATGTGTGGTATGTGTGATATGTATATGTGTGTGTGGAGTGTGTGTGGTAAGTGTGGTGCATGTATGTGTGGTATGTATTGGTGTGTGGTATGTATATGATACATGTATGTATGTGTTGTGTGTGGTATGTGTGGGTGGGGGATATGTGTGGTGTGTGTATGTGTTATGCATGGTGTTTGATGTATGTGGTGTGTGTATGGGGTGTGTGTGTGGTATGTGTATGTGATGTGCATGGTGTGTGGTGTGTGTATGGGATAGTGTAGTGTGTGTTTGTGGCATGCGTGTGGGAGACGGCTTGTGTGTATGTGTGTGAGAGTGTGTGTGTGTGTAGTATGTGAGAGGGTGTATGTGTGTGGCATATATGTCATGTGTGTATATTATGTGTGCAGCCTCTGGATGTGAGGGCTGGATCAGGCATGTGCCTGACCCCTCTCGGGAAGTACAGAACCAGGCGTGAGAAGGGAAGGTGGTGGCCATCCATCAGCCCAGCACATATACATGCAATCTTGACACAGTAGCTGACACACATGAGCAGTATCTTCACAGCACTTGTTACCTAGAAATAGGATCATCATTTGCATCATGGCTGTAGCAAAGTTCTTCACACTCCTCAATGCCACAGAGATCGTGCCAAGATTGAGGCCCAAAAAAGTGTAGAGATACATGAAAAACAAGCTTAAGCTGCCTCACAATTTTATCAGGACCCAGGAACAAGGAGTGAGAGTTCATGTGGGAGCAATAACACCAGCGGTCGCCCTCCCTAGGGAGACCTACTCAGTCCACCATTGAATCACCGACTCGGGACTGTGCCAATGCTGTAAAAAAGGCTACTCTTGTCCTCATCCCCAGCCTCGGGGGTGCAACACGGAGATGCAATGCCCACTCTTCCGATCTTGACTCTCACCTTCTTTGTACCCTACAGATATGTGGAACCTGCCTCTGGACAGCCGCTATGTCACCTTAACTGGGACCATCACACGCGGGAAGAAAAAGGGTCAGATGGTAGACATCCATGTCACATTGACAGAGAAGGAGCTGCAGGAACTGATCAAGCCTAAAGAGTCATCAAGGGAAATGATGCCTGAAGGAAGAATGGCCTGCCAGATGGGAGCCGACCGTGGGCCCCATGTGGTCCTCTGGACGCTGGTCTGCCTGCCTGTGGTCTTCATCCTCTCTTTCGTTGTCTCTTTCTATTACGGCACTATCACCTGGTACAACATCTTCCTCGTGTATAATGAGGAGAGGACCTTCTGGCACAAGATCTCGTATTGCCCCTGCCTCATTCTCTTCTATCCAGTGCTCATCATGGCCATGGCTTCTTCCCTGGGCCTCTATGCTGCTGTGGTCCAGCTCTCGTGGTCCTGGGGAGCATGGTGGCAAGCTGCCCGGGACATGGAGAAAGGCTTCTGTGGCTGGCTCTGCAGCAAGCTGGGTCTGGAGGACTGTTCTCCCTACAGCATTGTGGAGCTACTTGAATCCGACAATATCTCAAGCACTCTCTCCAACAAGGATCCCATCCAAGAAGTAGAAACCTCCACAGTCTAAACTCCCAACTTACTTCCTTCTCTGGCTCCAGTAGCCTATATATAATCTTATAATTCCAGCAGATTCTTTCTTTAAATTACCCCCACTCTCCCCAGTTCTTCTGAGAAACTGTAGTCCATACTGATCAGTTTTACCATCTTGAGGGTTCCAGGAGGGCAGGGAACAGAAGAGCAATTGCACCAAAGCAGTTCATCCAATGGACAAACTCTTCTTGATTCCCTGCCCTAAAATCACCATGTATCTAGGACAAGGAACTCTCCTGTATGTCATTTTTGGGAGCCTGAAGATGTTACTGGTGCCTGGAACTGAGGGGAGCATGTGACTAAATGTGTCAGGGAGAATAAGGAACCTCAGGGGTAACCACATCCACCCAGATAATAGGGGTGGATTGAGACATTTAGGAAGCTGGGCTATCACAGTGTAGCAGAAGGTAAAGATCTGTATGTATCATTTAGATTTAGCTGCATAGAATTAAAACCCTAAAATATCAGTGGCTTAAACAAGATAGAAGTGTATTTCTGGCCAGGCACGGTGGCTCATGCCTATAATCCCAGCACCCTGGGAGGCCAAGGCAGGACCTCTTGATCACAAGGTCCTGGCCAATATGGTGAAACCCCATTTCCACTAAACGTACAAAAATTAGCTGAGCGTGGTGGCACGTGCCTATAGTTCCAGCTACTTGGGAGTCTGAGGCAGGAGAATCGCTTAAACCAGGGAGGCGGAGGTTATAGTGAGCTGAGATCATGCCACTATTGTCCAGCCTGGTGACAGAGCAAGATTCTGTATCAAAAAAAAAAATTAAAATTAAAAAGAAAGAAGTGTATTTCTTTCTTGTACAGAAGCATCCCAGAGGCAGGCCATCCTAGGACCCTATGAAGTAATTCAGATCCCAGGCTTCTTTTATTTCTGTACCATTAGTAGGATGTGACCCTTCTCACCCTTAACTGCAACATCCCAGGGCTGATTACATCTTCAGCCATCACATCCATGTTTCTGATAAAATAGAGGAAGGGGCAGAGAAAGCACACACCCTTCCTGTTCAAGAATACTTCCCAGAAGTCCCACTCAATCCTTCTTATGTCTCATTGGCAAGACCTCAATCACCTGATCTCACAAGCAAGAGGCTGGAAATGTAGTTGTTTGGCTGGGTAGCTATATTCTCAGCTAAATATTGGGTTGGCGCTAATTGGAGAGAAAAAGGAAGAATGGTTATTTGTTTTTTGTTTTGTTTTTTTGAGATGGAGTCTCTCTTGCTGAGGCTGAAGTGCAGTGGCACTACCTCGGCTCACTGCAACCTTTGCCTCCTGGGTTTAGGTGATTCTCTAGCCTCAGCCTCTTGAGTAGCTAGGATTACAGGC